ACACTGTGTAACTGTGGACACACTGTTAGTCCATGAAAGTCATTATTTCATTACCAGGTGGGCATCATATCAGGGAACCACATGCGGCCCAGGTGCTTGGACACTTCGCTGTGGATCTGCTCCATGTTGTAGCTGCTGTCTGGGATCAGCACCTCCTCCATGATTGACAGCTGAGTCAGCCTGCCGCCGCACATCTTCACAAATTCCACAAAGCCACTGCAGGTCACCTCGCACTCCCTGAGCCCCATGGCCGTCAAGCTCTTGCAGCGCTCTGCGATCAGGATCAGCTCCTCGTCCAGGGGCTCCAGCCCGTTGGCACACACGACCAGCTCCACCAGCCGAGGGCAGTTCAGCCCAATGCGGCCCAGCAACTCTTTGCTGACGGCCCTGCCAAAGTACAGGTGGGTGACGGGAGTCTCCTCGTGGAAGAAGGGCTCGAACTCCTCCACGTTGAGGAAGAAGTACATGACGATGTTCACCTTGGGCGAGTGTCGGACCAGAGCCTCCCAGCTGCTCCTCTTGATGGTGTGAAAGTGCATCTGGTTGGGGTTTTCACTTGCCACATCAACGCGCAGGTGCTCCAGGTGGACGTGTTTTTCAGAGGAGAGAGCAAGCAGGAGCTCATCACTGAGGAGGTGGTAGTTCAATGCCAGCTCCCTTAGGCCATGGCACTGATCTGCCACACAGAGGATACCTGTGGAGAGAAAGAGAGAATAGGAACATATCCTTTTAAAAATAAATGGTCAGAAATGAATGAGAATTCAAATAAGAACTGTGATTTCAGTGGGTCAGTCCATCAGCTGTTCGTGATCCGTGTAGGATGAATCCTACTGGCTTTTCTTCCAGGGAAATGAGTATTGATGAAAATTATTATGTTGAAAAAAAGAATTGTGTTGTGTTAATATATGTGTTGAAGTAAATGAAATATCTTGACTGCAACTTTATGTTTTCACTTTCACTTTCCACAGTCATCGTCACATCAAAGTTTCAACATGTTTGTTGTTTGACCACATATCTGAACGACATTCACATCAGCCTCAGTCATGTTTCATTATAATTAGCAAATGTTAGCATGCTACACACAATATCAACTTGTTAGCGTCATCACTGATACAATGTTTGTGTTAACATTAATATTTTAGCTCAAAGCACGGCATGATAGACTCTCACTCTTTTTTATAAATGTATTTGTCTTGCATTTGCTATTAGAAGGTCACAATGTAAAACTACATGGGTCCCTCTTGTGGCCTACAAATCTAAGACACTTACCTTACATCAGTGTCCCAGTTCAAGCCCCGCATGAGACATCTGCCACGTATCATTGCAGATCTCTCTCTCTTTTCGTTCCCTGTACTCTCTATGCTGACTCATAAAAGCCAAACAAAAAAAATCCTTTAAAAATAAATATATATATATATATTGACCTGCAGGGGAGACATGAGGACAGCTGCTCATCTTCAGCAACTTGAGCGTTTCACTGTTGTTGGCAACCAGCACCTTCAAGGACGGGTCATCCACTGGGGTGTCATTAATCTTGATAGAGGACAGGGACTTGGAGTTGATAAACACCACGGTTAGTGCAGACACAAAGTGAGCCTGAGGAGGAGCAAGCAGACAGGTCAGAAGATTTCTTTTGCAAAAAGCAAAAAATAAATCCATTAAGATACAATCAACGACAGGGGGGAGGTGAAAACAATCTGCGGTTGTACATGCAACTGAAAATACCTGATGTGACTCACCCAGCTCCTTGGGTGCAACAAATAGAGCAGCGGTAAAAGAAGCAGCATCTTACCTGAGACACATCCATGAAGCTGGGCCTTGCTGTGGAAATCAGCCCCAGGGTCTTAATGGTACAGTTCACCAGCTGGGAGAGAATGTCACAGGCCGCCTCTGCAGACTCTATGCAGCTGTCCACCTGATTTACCAGCAGTGATTCACCATTCACACGGAGAGAAAAAAAAAATCAAATAAAGGAAAAATGGGAAAGATAGACGTCTTAGAATAATTTCAGCCTCGATGTGTAAATCTGCTAATGCCAAGACATCTGATGCATCATGATTGGTTGTGCAGCAGATGGTTTGGATTAAGGAGGGCAGGTAATGTTTTTTAAGCAGCGATGTTGTGAAAATGGAGGAGAGGAAAGAGAGGAGGAAATGGGTGACAGCAGGGGAGGCCTTTACCTTAAAGCTGACGTACTGCAGGTGCTGGGCGTGCTTCTTGATGATCTGCTGAATGAGGTCAGGGTGAGTGGAGCGCAGGTAGGAGGTGGCAGGCTGATTGAGCTCAAACTCAAACCTCCTCCACAGGTCGGGGGTGTGGAAGACGTCATTCCATTGGCGACACACGGACGAGGCCCTGGCCCGGTCTATCAGGGACAGATGCTGGAAGATCTGCAGGATGACGTGGTGGGGCAGGTTACCCCAGTCCTCTGCTGGAGACAGGGCAAAGCTGGACGCCCCCCGGTTCTGTCTCTTAGCCCTCTTCTCGTGGCATGAGAAGGTCGGGCACTTTGATTTGAAACCTGTCCGTCCTCGCTTCATTCTGAAACACTGTAGGATCATGATGGATCAGAAATATTTCTAAATCTACAGCTACAACAGTAGTTTATACTTAGTTAAACATCTGCAGCATTTTCAAATAGAATATTATGAAAGTAAAGTGAGACGATAGTGTAAACTCCCACTTAGGTCTACAGAAGCTAACTATTTTCTGGTGGATTGTGCAGTTCAGCTAGAATCATTTATCCATCACTACCTGCAAAAAGTGTGGTGGTTACATCCAGATGTCAGATATACTTTTAATAATCATATTAACCCTGCATGTAATTAACATACTGAATGTATTTTTTTAAATTGTATTAGCAAGATCATCCTGATCTGAATCAGTTGCAGGTAGTTGCTCTCGTTCACTGTATCTAACATGGCACATTTTAATTCAAGTTCAGAGCCCATCTCAATATTCATGTGAAAGTCCTCACTCTATAACCTGGCTGCTGTAGAACTTGAACTTTTTTCCAAACATCACTTTTATGCTTTTCCTAACCACAGGCAAAACTGCAATAAATTTAGGGTTGTATTTCAAAACAAGAACAACCGATCATCTCACTTTGAAAATCACCACAGTGGACACAACCTGCATTGAAGGGAGAAATCAAATACTGTATAATCAACTGAAATTAATATATAAACGATGTGAAACTCACCTCAAACACTTCATAGACACTTGGCTGACAAAAATAAAAGTGATGCCGAAGCCTCATTACTGAGATCACTCCCAGTTTCACTGAAGCAAACCTTTCCCTCAGTCACAGTAGTCTATTGACATGCATGAACCACCAAGCTAAACCCTCCATCTCATCTCCCTCGATGTCATCTAAATATTTCATCATTTAAATATGTTCAATAAATATCTTCACTTTTGGGCTTCAGCTAAAGGCTCCAGAGTACAGAGTTTGGAAAGTTTGCTTACAGACATGTTGATCGAGTCTGAAAAAACACAAGTGGCTAACTAAATAAATGAATAAATAAAAACACTTCCACAAAATTATTATTATACATATATGATCTTATTATTAACATGTTTCAGTGAGGGGAAGCTGTGAAAGGTGAACTGAACTGGTAAACTGGACGTTTTGTTATAAGATACAACTGGTCCCATCACAATATAACACAACACAATCATTTATTTCTCTCTGTTCTCATGTGATCTTTCCATATAGACGTAAACAAAACACAGTGCACGGGTCAATAAAAACAAAGTTACTTACATGAATAACGACTTCAAATCACTTTTCCCTCGGTTGTGTGGTGTGCCGGTGTTTCGTCTGCGTTCACGTGGAAGCATGGCTGGAGATGACTGGAGAAATGCTGGCTGATGCTGATATAGGACAGCAGGGGCAGCTCCCGTAATGGGCTCTCCTCTCGGCTTGAGCGACAGCTTGACGTACACGTGAGCAGAGGAAAACATGGACCTGCCCCGCTGCATCTCCACCCAGCACCGTGCATGCAGAGACACGACATGGTGCAGCCACAGCAACGAGGAGAGGGACACATGTCTCTGCTTCCAGTGGTCAGAGTCACATTAACTGGAACTCAGTCACTTACACCGGTGTGGCGGATTTAGTATTAGTTATTGTCATGAGCAGAGCACAGGATGCTGTGAGAAGGTGGGTCAGTGTGTCACTGTGTGTGTGTGTGTGTGTGTGTGTGTGTGTGTGTGTGTGTGTGTGTGTGTGTGTGTGAGAAAGAGAAAGTAAAGTATATACAAATACATGTAAGTATTTATGTATGTATATATGTATTTATGTATAGATGTATGTATGTATGTATGCACACAAAAAAATATATACATAGGATTTAAATATGTTTTTTCAATGAGTATCTTGTGCCCTCTGCTCATATCTGATGTGTGGAAGTGTGGTATGAAAGAAGAGAAAGACAAGAATCAGTGTATCATCTTGTTTAGATATTTTACAGGATGCTGTCAGTTCTCAGTGATTCATATTTACTGCCCGGTTGATTAAAAGGATCATATCTTACAATAATGTACACAATGTGTATAAAAAAAAAGACACGAAAGCTACTGGAAAAATGACTAGGGCAGAAAAATATTCATGAAAAGAAGGAGATTACACAAATCCCATATAAAATGAATTGTGGCTTATTTGTCCAGAGTAATGACACATTCAGTGATTTAGAGTCACTGAATAACAATTATATTTTTAAACAGAATTAATTACCAATCAAAATAAGTGATTTTTAATCATACTTCTAATATTGGTAAATCCACATCAGCAGGGAGGGATTGAGAATAATATAGATTCAGTATCAGTCAAATAATAATGCATTGATTGTGAGGGCTCAGATTCAAGATTTACCCATTGACTTATTCACACAAGCACGATATGACAAAGTTTGTCCGGACAGTTTTCAAGCATCGAACATGTGTAGTGGGTAAACTGGCTGACGATGAAGGTGTTCAGGCTCCATGTAAATGCGCCACAGCCTGACAGACCGCACGCAGGGCAGCACATTGGTCTTGTGGCTCACAGCGCGGCTCCGCCTCTCTGAGCTGCGGCCGTCGGTCACGTCGGCGTCAGGAGGAGAAACAAAAACACCTCCCGGAGCTGGAGCCAGAGGAACCAGCGGAGGGAAAGTCTTTCTCCGGCCGGTGCCGTTGTTCCCCGCAGACTGCACGATGTCGGCGAGCTTCCACGTAGCTGTTTGTAACGCAGTGCGAAGATGCTAGCTAGCGTGCTAGCTTAATATTAGCCACCGCGCCTGACAGCCCATGTCCACAGCCTGCAGCTAACTCGTGAGTAAGGTAAGAGCTGGGACTTTTCTTCTCATCCTGACCTCAACTCCCTGTGCGTTCGAACAGGCAACACGTTTTACTATCGATGTAAGTTCCTTGTGAACACCAGAACTATCTCCAGATGAAATGTACAGTTTAGTGAGTTTAGCAAAAAGCAGGCAACAGTTGACTTGAAGTTTAACATACTGTTTAGCTGAGTCAAGTTAGCTCACTGTTAGCTGCCCTAACCCTGGCTAAATTACATTCACGGTAAAGAGCAGCACGAAACGTTTGAGATCTTCAGCTTGTCATTGACTGCTTTGTGTTTAAATAGCAGGTTTAGCAGGTCTGGCGTCTGTTCTCTGTGTTAATAGTCAGCGTGTGTCTCAGACTGATATTTGTGGCTGTTTCTGGTCATGGAGACCCAGTGGCTAAAGTATTGTTCCTGCTCCCTGTCATGATCATGAAAGGCAGTAATGATATCTGAGTTTAAATGTCCCAGAATATGTCTCTTCTCTGTCAGCGCGACTCTGAAATGCAGGTAGTTTTAGTTTGAATGAAAGTTAAATCATGTCAAACACAAACAGATCGATCTGAACCTTTAAACATCACTGCCTTGTTAATCAATTCATTACTTTTATGCAAACAAACATGAAGTTAGTGACCCACCCTAGTGCTTTTACATTTTCTTATTCGTCATGTACAAAGAAGCTTTGTTTTGTTTGAGCCAGAGGCAGGAATAGTAGCAGAGAAGTGTCATGGCTCCAAACATTTGTACTAAACAGGATTATTATTTGTTTCTTTGCCAAGTCTCGTGTACCTGCCGTGTATCTGTCTAGTAAAACACTTTACTAATCCTTGGTTTACTTTTACCATAATACAAATTTGTACATATCTCCTGCTCTTTCCCAGTATCTATCTTCAAATTATATGTTTCAGTTTGTTTTACCTTCATCACTCTGTGATGATATCAAGAAAAACAATCAACAACAATATACTTTGCTTCCTTGTGTCCTTTTAGACAAATCAACCATGACACAGAAAGTCAGTCTGTGTTCAGTCACCCTCGGGGTGGAGGGTATGACTTGTGGCTCCTGTGTCCAGTCCATAGAGCAGAGGATTGGGTCTCTCCCAGGAGTGATACATATAAAGGTAAATGCATTGTTTGCGAAGAAACATGTCTTGTGTCTCGCAGCATTTGACTGTTTTTCTATATTTAGGTGCAGTTCTTAAAATTTCCTGACGCAGAATTTTTTGAATGCTACTTCCAGTTAAAAACAGGATCTGAAATCATATTGTTCTAATGGTGCAGTCTTTATTTGACCATGTGGACAAGGCAGATATATATATATAGATCATTGCATTAATAAAGTTTCCTGCCCATTTTAGGGCAATACAGTTTGATTAATCCCACAGTCCTTCTCCCTCAGGACTAGCTGGTCTGATTTACAATCAATCACTTTAGCCATTAGACAAGCATAAGAGCTAAATTACAATAGTTGAGGCCTGTTGTTTTGTTTCCTGTGTGTTTACCCCTCTGGCTGTGGTTAAATGAGAATATAACATAATAGTGTGCTCCAGATAGAGCTCTGCCCTTTCCAGGACTGTGACAGCAGGTCGAAATGCAGTCGTCTGTTCCCACAGGAAATCAAATTTGTGTTTTAAGAGAATCCAATGTCTGGTTCATTTAATGGTAATCTATAAAGACAAGGGATCTGGGAGGAGTGTATTGATTTTTCTTATAGCATATAGAATAGTTATTGTCTGATCCCCAGCTTTCCTTCGCTTCTCATTCTCAGAAAGATGGTTAATCCAACAGGCAGGAACAATCACTTATTACTAACCCCACTCTATGATTTGTAACTTAAAGCTCAGTCTGGTGATCCCTGCAGTGTGTCACATGTTTGCTTACTTGTGGAAGTGGGAGAGCTAAGGGTCATTCTGTTGACAGAACATGCCGTAAGCTTAACAAGGCCTTGGACAAATTTGACTCTCTTTATAATTTTAAGCTTCATGTATGTTCACAATATACAGGTAATTTCAAGAGCATATAAAGTCACATGAGGAAAGGATGTTCTTTGTACTCTATGCTATACAATCAATAAAATGGATGTCTCCACAGTAAACTATTGAAATAAACATTCTGACAGTAATAACATGCTGGACTTTGGCAAAGGCCTAAAACCTGCATCAAATGGTTAATGTATGACTAATTTTATATCTGCTGTTTTATGAGATAATTCTACAAATGCTTGTAATATGTTGAAGGAAAGTCACCCCCAGTATCTTTATGTTTAATATGGTTATTAGCCTCTCAAAAGTACACTTAAATGGAGTTGTTGATTGCTCAGTGGATTTAGCTTGATTATGATTTTTTCCCCTTAGTGATTCAGTGAAACCCCCAATTTGACTTTTATTTTGCAGGTGTCTTTAGAGCAAAGGAATGCCACTGTCATATTTGACCACAACCAACAGAATCCAGAGTCTCTGTCAGAGGCCATCGAGGACATGGGCTTTGAATCGCAGTCCGTCACAGCCACACCGGTCTCTACAGAGACCCAGCTCGTATCCACCTCAGTCCTGGCACCTGCAGCTCAAGAGGAGGCCTTAGAGAAGCTATCCCAGGTCCAGGGAGTCCTGGAAGTCAGAGAGAGCCAGGTTCCGACGGGTCTCACTGTCACCTATGTTCCCTCCTTGACTTCGTCCCTGCAGCTGAATGAGTTGGTGGCCAGCCTGTCAGCTACGGAGATCCCCACACCCAGCAGTCCTGTGCAGAAAGGCCCAAATGTGTCTCCATCTCAAAGCAGGTCAGGAGAAGTGGCACTGCTGAAGTTACGGATCGAAGGAATGACGTGCCACTCCTGCACCAGCACTATTGAAGGGAAGATTGGAAAACTGAAAGGGATTAAAAAGATCAAAGGTGACACTCTTGACCTGTTAATAAGTTTGTATTTAGGTTTTACCTCACTATCCAGCTAGAAGTGATGTTCTAACACATTTGCTGCACGATGTGGAAAGCTTGTCTTTCAGGTCACAGGTGTCCTGTTAGTGTGTCTCTGTAGGTTCATTGCCAACAGATTGCTCAGTGGGATTTGACCATGACTCAGGAAATCCTTTCATTGGCATTGTTGTAAGGAGGGACATGTAGACACATAGGATTACATTTGCTGAGTACAGTATTGTCATTGTGTATAAATTGGCAGTATAGTCTGCAATATGCAAAAACTACTTGACCAATTTCCATGAACTATTGTGGAGGGGTGGAGTAGGAGGCAGGGAGGAACCCATTACATTTTGGAACGAATCTGGATCAGGCGGGAAGATTCCAATTTTTTCTTTACTTACTTAAACATTGCAAGAGGACGTTTTTCAATAATTTTGTTAATTCCTCAGAGTAATTTATGGATCTCACAGAAACAGAAATTTGGATCCAGTGAATTTAAATGTGGTTTCATAAGGGAACTGTAGGCCTTGGCGGAGGTATGCACTCTACTAAGTGCCACTCTAGTTTCAAACTGAAAAGTTATCCTCATGACAGTGACATATATATAACAACCTGAATGTTTAAACTTCAGCTAGTAGGTTTGAAGTTTTATTTTTGTGCCTCATTGAATGGAAACATCTGCATAATCTGTTAATGTCTAGTCTCTTTCTGTGCTTGTGACATTTTTTTTTATTAACATTTTCTCATGTTATACTTATCCACAGTTGTATTAGACTCTCAGGAAGCGACAGTCGTCTACCTGCCTTACCTCACCACCGTCCAAACCATCATCGACCAGATTGCCGTGGCCGGCTTCAAGGCTTTTGTCAAATCCAAGCCCCGCCCTCTGCAGCTGTCCCCCAGTGAAATTGAACGTTTAGTTGATTCTCAAAAACCATCTGTGTCTTCACCATCAGAGACTTCAGAGGAGACCGAAATCTTCGTAGACATAACACTTGTCGTGCTCGGAGTCAAGGGCATGCACTGCCATTCCTGTGTGGTCAATATCCAGGACAATATCTCCATGCTGCCTGGTGTGTCCTCTGTGGAGGTCTCTCTGGAGAAGGAGAAAGCTTCCATCTGCTATGATCCTCTAAAGGTGACAGTGCCTCAGTTGCAGCAGGCAATTGAGGCGCTGCCTCCAGGACACTTCAAAACTCAACCCTGGGACTCCACTGGCCCAATCAGTCCTGTATCCATATCGCCCTCACCTGCCTTATCATCGCCTCGGAATGCAGGAGCAATCCAGGCCAAAGCTGTTGCTGCAAAGCCTTGTTTTACCCAGCCACTGGTGTCTGTAGTTAATATTCACATTGAGGGCATGACGTGCAACTCATGTGTCCAGTCCATCGAAGGCATGATCTCTCAAAGGAAAGGCGTGGTGTCAACACAGGTCTCTCTGGCTGATCACCAGGGGATCTTTGAGTATGATCCCCTTTTGACCACACCAGAGGAGCTGAGGGAGGCCGTGGAGGACATGGGCTTTGATGCCTTCCTACCTGGTAAGAGGACAGATGGTGCAATAGTTGAGTCAGTGCAAAAAGCATTTTATTTGTGTGTTTAAATAGTATTGTTTGTAGATAGAGCTTTACTTTGATGCCATCCAAGCATCTCTTCCTACAGGCAGCTTCTGTTCATTTGAATCTGCCAGTGAGGGTACTTGAAATTCAAGGATGAGACTCCATAGCTAACTGCACATTTGGCTTCCCTTTAATAACTATAATTTGTTCTCCACAGCCACCAATTCACTGCTGCCTTCACCAGATCCCCATGTCACAAAGTCTTCAAGTCTAGCACATGTGAAAGATATTGAGATGGACAGTGACTTACACAAGGAAGGACGCAACAGAGAAGAACAGTCTAAATGCTATATTCAGATTGGAGGGATGACCTGTGCTTCCTGTGTGGCAAACATCGAAAGAAACCTGAAGAATGAACCTGGTCTGTAAAGGCATAAAATATTGACTTATTCCAATAATGTTTTTCCATCTCACTGCTTTGATTAGGCGCTAAAGAGAAAATCTTTAATGTTGTCCAGGTATCTACTCTGTTCTGGTGGCACTCATGGCCAGTAAAGCAGAGGTGCGTTACAACCCGGAGGTCATCGATCCTGTGAAGATAGCCGAGTGTGTGAAAGAGCTGGGCTTCACTGCCTCTGTGATGGAGAACTATGAAGGTTCAGACGGAAACCTAGAACTAGTGGTGAGTTGGCGTAAAGTTGCAGTAACATGATGTGAGTGTTGTATTAAAAAGGCAAATTGAACATAGTAACATTTCCACTTTATGAAATCCATAAACATGCTGTAATGGTATACAACAATCATATTTGAGAAGACATGCAACTTCCTCTTCAGTGGATGAAATTAAACATTTCTGACTCACTTCAGACCCTCTTTAATATATTTTTGTGCCTTTCTCTGCTTTTGCTTCCCTTCACCTTCTTTCAGGTCAGAGGAATGACGTGTGCCTCTTGTGTTCACAAAATTGAATCCAGCCTTATGAGAGAAAAGGGGGTTATTTATGCCTCTGTTGCCTTGGCAACCAACAAAGCACACCTTAAGTACGACTCGGAAATTATAGGGCCACGAGACATCATCAAGCTGATAGAGGTATTATTCCTCCCTCACCTGTGAAACTTCATACAGTAGAAGTGCAAAATCACAAAATGGTTGGTTTGATCATTGCGTTGATGTTTATTTGTAGAATCTTGGGTTTGAAGCATCGCTGGTAAAGAGGGATCGTACTGCCAGTCACCTGGACCACAGCAAAGAGATACGACAGTAAGTAACTTGTGATGATGCAGTGACTTGTGTCATTTAGTGTATATGCACTATTTTTGCAGGATATTTGTGGCCTGATTTATTATAGAGTGATTCTGACTTAATTTATGTTACATTTTTGGGTTAGGGTTAAAATACAAACTAAAATGAATCTCAAACTCACAAATATTTTCAATCTTTCAGGTGGAAGAAATCTTTCCTGGTGAGCTTGATTTTCTGTGTGCCTGTGATGGGCATGATGACCTACATGATTATTATGGACCACCAGATGAACGCTTCACATCAGCACAATGCAACGGTGGAGGACCGCAACCATTACCACTCCACCATGTTCCTGGAGAGACAGCTGCTCCCAGGCCTCTCCATCATGAACCTCCTCTCCTTCCTCTTCTGTGTCCCTGTGCAGGTAAATCTGAAGGATTGCCTGCAGAGCCAGGAACATTTCAGCAGCACATTTTTAGTCAGTGAGCGAATCACGGATTTGTTTTCTGACAGCAGCAGTTAATTTGATGATGTTTGTTCTTCAGGAAATAAGTAGTTTAAAATGGGTAATCGAATTTGAAATGAATACTGACGTGGAGAATCATAATTTGTTTCCAAATGCAATTTGTTTTCCTTAGAAGAGATAAAAAAAACTTATTTGATAAATGCAAACTGAAGAAATCTACTGGAATGGTCGACATTACAGTGAAGTCCTGAGGTTGTCTAATGACCGCTACAACTGTACTTTTTGGTGTCTTGTGTGCGCTTTGTGAACATGAATCTGAAACAGAAAAGAGTCTTTTCAGGAGAGGTGAGGAAGTCTGAATGAAAAACTTCAAGCAAATAAAAGCTTCTGTTTTTCCTCTCCGCAGTTTATCGGAGGTCGCTACTTCTACATTCAAGCTTATAAAGCAGTCAAACACCGATCTGCCAACATGGATGTGCTTATAGTTTTGGCTACTTCCATAGCCTTCACCTACTCGCTGGTCATCCTAATAGTGGCCATGGTGGAGAAGGCCAAAATCAACCCCATCACCTTCTTCGACACGCCACCGATGCTCTTCGTCTTCATCTCGCTGGGACGCTGGCTAGAACAGATAGCTAAGGTTTAGCTCATTATAATTATCATTATTGTTATTTTTATTACATATGACATCTAAATCTACTTTCAAAATTATCATTGTCTTTAAATGAATGGTCAGAAATTGTTTTGTGTGTCACATCTTCCATCCAGAGCAAGACGTCTGAGGCTTTGTCCAAGCTTATGTCTCTGCAAGCTACCGAGGCCACAGTGGTCACTCTCAGCAGTGACTTGTCCATTCTCAGGTACCAGTTCTCTACACTCACCCTGTCTCTTACAACCTTTCATATCTGAAGTTGGTTTTAGATAACAACAAATGCAAATATTTGAAGTTTAAATGTCATTACAAAGGTCTGATCGGGCATAATAAACACTGCATATTCTGCATAAACAAGCTGCGAGCTATTTTCCACAGCAAGAGCAGCAGAAATATTTTGGTCAATTCCACCTGGTACACAGACTTAATCTCTGTTTTGTTGTTCAGTGAGGAGCAGGTTGATGTTGAGCTGGTGCAGAGGGGTGACGTGGTGAAAGTCGTCCCCGGAGGGAAGTTTCCAGTAGATGGAAGGGTCATTGAAGGACACTCGATGGCTGATGAGTCTCTAATCACAGGTTTGTCGCGTTGACTGAGAGATCAAATAACTATTATTGGCTTGATATGTGTGTGGTGTAAAAAACATGCTCAAATGTAAATATTCAGGTGACGTGAACCAGTGTAAGCGATCCATTTTTTTCACACATTCCTTCCTGAGAAGTTTCTTTTAGTTCTTTTACCATTTGAAAGAAGCTTCTATAAAAGAATGAGACGAGAATCTGAACATTTTAACATCAGCGACTTGCATAGTTCACTTCAGAATAAACTCCTAGTTCCATATTTCGACATAATATTCTTCACTGCTGTTGCCATATCTACACAGACCATAACCACAGTTGGCTTTAAATTATAACTTGGTTGGTATCATTATTCATTCAAAAAATAACTTTTCAATTGCCAGCACCATCAAACATGTTGAGCCATTATTTGAGCTGTAGTTTCTTCCAAAGCACCAGTATTTACTGTGGACGGCCAGCTCCTGTTTCCCGCTGCTGCCATGTTCTGTTGTGTTTCTGAGCAGCTGTTGCTCTGTCTCTCCAGGTGAGGCCATGCCAGTGACGAAGAAGCCAGGGAGCACTGTGATTGCAGGCTCCATTAACCAGAACGGCTCTCTGCTCGTCAGTGCTACACATGTCGGCATGGACACAACGCTGTCTCAGATTGTCAAACTGGTGGAGGAGGCTCAGACTTCAAAGGTGAATTATGCAATTTCCGCACCGTATCGTCCTGCGTGTAGGGTAACATTGATTGGGAAGGTGTGTCATTTCTCAAATTTTATTTTCTAGGCTCCCATCCAGCAGTATGCAGATAAGATCAGTGGCTACTTTGTACCCTTCATTGTTGGCATATCCGTCCTGACGCTGGTCGCCTGGATCATCATTGGGTTTTTGGATTTCTCACTTGTGGAGATGTACTTTCCCGTGAGTCACCTTTTCACTCTGACTGTTTTAACCATCTCTTTAGTGCAGCATCAGGAAATGACATCTGTTCTTCTCTATTTCTTTTTTACTGATAACAAAAACCCTGACTTAATATGTCTGTGTTGTTAATGCATCTGATGATGTTGCTCATACTATATCATGTTTCTTCTCATCGTTGAAGATATAAGTGAATCTTACGCTCAGTCGCCCCATTTTCTCCCCCCCAGGGTTACGACAAGAGCATTTCCAGGTCCGAGGCAGTGATTCGCTTTGCCTTCCAGGCCTCCATAACAGTGTTATGCATCGCCTGTCCCTGCTCCCTTGGCTTGGCAACCCCGACAGCTGTCATGGTGGGCACAGGAGTTGGAGCCCAAAATGGCATTCTGATAAAAGGAGGAGAGCCACTTGAGATGGCACATAAGGTGTGTTAATGATGACACTCTGACACCCCTGATACTGTGTATAGTCAGCCAGTTATGTAACAGACCATCTGTCATTTTAAACACAGGCTCTAATTCACAAGCTTACAGAACATATTAGTAAAGATGTAATTGTGAATAAAAGTCCTAAAAAAGTATTTCCTGCTCACGTCTATCGTACCTCCTTTTTACGTACAGGTCCAGATTGTGGTGTTTGATAAAACTGGGACCATCACATACGGTGCTCCAAAGGTTATCCAAGTCAAGATAGTTGTGGAGGGGAACAAGATGCCTCGTTCCCGACTGCTGGCCATTGTGGGTACTGCTGAGAACAACAGTGAACACCCTCTGGGTTCAGCTATCACCAAGTACTGCAAACAGGTTGGTCTCTACCTTGAATTAACTCCCACACTCCACTCTCTTGAAATCTAAGATCGGTTGATTCCTCTACATATTCTAGCTTTGTAACATGTTATATCAAACATCCTTTTCTGTGTGCAGGAGCTTGGCACGGAGTCTCTTGGCACATGCACAAACTTTCAGGCGGTGCCGGGCTGTGGCATCAGCTGTCAGGTCAGCAACACAGAGACCCTGCTGAAACAGGCGGACAGCGACAGCGAGGACAACAACCAGCGGAACAGCGTCCTCGTTCAAATCAGTGACACCCGAACAACCACCAGCTCCCATCCACTCATCATGGACCCACAGCCTCTGAGTAAGTTGGGAAATGGAATCCTTTTGTTATGGCCGTGCATCCAACAGAAGTACTTATATGTCATGATCGTGTACTTTCTATTTACTCAATACCTTAATGTTTCCTTGCTGTTGTCTAACTTGTGTGTTCAGGCCTCGTTCAGACAGCCACTTATGTCGTGCTGATTGGCAACAGAGAGTGGATGAGGAGGAACTGCTTGCAGGTCAGACCTGATATAGATGAGGCCATGATGGAGCATGAGCGCAGAGGACGCACTGCTGTTTTAGTAGCTGTAGATGGTAAGTGGTGCAGCTTTAGTGCAAGGCTCATAAATGTTCTTCATTTCTTTTATTCCATTTCTTACTGTTTAGATTTATATTCTTCTCTAAAACAAATGTTGACAAAATATTTTATTTTTAAACATTTGTATTTGTGCGTAGACCTGCTGTGTGCAATGATAGCCATTGCTGACACAGTGAAACCTGAGGCTGATCTTGCCATACACACTCTTACCAACATGGGTCTGGAAGTTGTGCTGATGACCGGAGACAACAGCAAGACGGCAAGGGCCATTGCTGCTCAGGTACAAAGAAACACCACTACATTTTAGTTTTAAAACATATCACTGTTGACTACATTAACTCCTGACATTCACACTGCTCCCGAGTTTTCGAGCACCTATAACTAGGGAGTATTTTAACACTGCTGGACAAATTTTAGTTTGAAAATCCGGGGCTGCTTTGTTGTTATAGATGGGCAAAAGTGGAGATGCTTGGAAAAAATGACGCAGTCACCAGCATTTGCTTACTGAACAGTCACGACTTGACTCCCTAATGTGAGGGCAAAATGTCATGAACACTTTTAATCATTATTGATTCTCATTTGTAGTATTTTCTGTGATCAAGCAACCGGCTGCAGACACAATCTGCTCCCTGTTTATGTATGTGTAGGTTCATGGTCACGTGATATGAGTTTTCAGGTGTGGTGGGGATTATCATTGACAAGGAGCTAAAACACTTGCTTTAAATTCAAACTGTCTTATGGATGGAGCCTGACAGAGTGACAGTTATTGAAGTGATAATCTGCCCTTTTATACAAACTTTAACACATTTTAAATACATGAGGATGAGAAGGAACTATGAGCAATATTGATCTAAAAGTATACAATTTTCTGAACACTATAGTCCTTCCATTTTAGTGCATTAAGAATCCATCATGTTCACTTATGTTGTCGGTCTGTGCTTGTCTCCAGGTTGGAATCAAGAAGGTGTTTGCTGAGGTGCTTCCCTCCCACAAGGTGGCCAAGGTGGAACAGCTGCAGCAGCAGGGCAAGAGAGTCGCCATGGTGGGTGACGGTGTCAATGACTCGCCCGCTCTGGCCATGGCTGACGTGGGCATCGCCATAGGAACTGGGACAGATGTGGCCATAGAAGCAGCAGATGTGGTGTTGATCAGGGTGAGATAAAATAAGAAAGAATAGAACAATGATTCAGACATACAATTATCACACATTACAAGTACATAGAGATTGAAACACTTGTTACAAAAACAAAATGAGCACCTCAAGTCTGAGTTAAGGTCTTTATGATTTCTTTTTTTAATATTATTTTTTTTAAAGTTTGTTATTGATTCATTTCTCTGATTTAAGCATCACTCGTTTCATAAATGGCAATTGTGACATTTCAGCCTGGCAGCACAGAGGCAGTGTGAATTTACAGAATCACAGTAAACGTACAGTATACAACACAGTATTATGTCATCACTGAAACCATAAGAATAACACAAATGATTATTTTTCTTAATTATCTGATATTGCTAGTTTTCATGTAACCTCTTGTTTCTGGTCTTGTCTACAGAACGACCTCCTGGATGTGGTGGCTAGTATAGACCTCTCTAAGAAGACTGTCAAGAGGATCAGGATCAACTTTATATTTGCTCTGATCTACAACCTGGTTGGCATTCCTATTGCTGCTGGTAGGTGACTGCAAACAATTAGGAGATGTATTTGAATCAAATCATCAACACTGACAATGATCATGAAGATAATTCTGACCACAGCAGTTATATGAACTTTGTCTTTACGCAGGCATATTCCTCCCCTTTGGTCTGGTGTTACAGCCATGGATGGGCTCTGCTGCGATGGCACTGTCGTCTGTCTCTGTGGTTCTGTCCTCTCTTCTACTCAAATGGTAAAAAGGAAATGTATTAATAATTTAGTTTTTCTCCCCTTGAGAATAATCATCTAAAGCCGTTTTCAGACAAACTCTGGAGGATGTCCGTAGAATTTGCCTTTCACATATGAACTACGCAGCAGGAGATTCTCCACTCGGACACGTTCACAACAACACAGAACTCTGGAGCGTTCAGGTGAGGGGTGGTGCAGCAGACAGAGGCAGGTTGCCACATATTAATTCTGCTGAGATCAAGTGTTTTGCCTTACGGCATTGACACTGTGTTAGAAACGCCATCAACACGCCCACTTGCTTGCGGTGAATCCTGTGGAGGATCTCTTGCTGTGTTCTTAAATTAGCTAATATGCACATTCTCCAGAGTTTTCACTCGGAGGCTGGCAGGAGAAACTCCGGAGAAAGTCCTGAGGCTCTGACTACATTTGTATTCTCACATACAGCCGCTCCGGAGAATGTCAGGGGATTATTCAGAGTTCAGTGGGTCCTAAAGCACCTTAAAACATTTTCCAAATCCAATTCCACATTTGTCTTTCTCTGTTATCTTCCAGTTACACTAAACCCAGTGCAGAGAAGTTGGAGGCACGACTGGGTAACAGCAGGCGGCAGGGCAGCCTGTCTGACGTCAGCATCCACATCGGCATGGGTGACGTGCGTCGTCCCTCCCCCAAACTCAGCCTGCTGGACCGCATCGTCACCTATAGCCGGGCCTCGATCAACTCCCTGCGGTCAGACAAGCACTCCCTTAACAGTTTGGTTCTCAGTGAGCCGGACAAACACTCACTGCTGGTGGGGGAGGCGCTGAGCGAGGAGTTCTGCTGAATACGTAAGCGTCACGTGGGCTTGCAATGACTTTAGTGAGCTGGAGCAGATAGTCACTGCATTAATTCAACACTAGGCCTCGCTAACATGGTTCTATTGAATAGTTGCCCACCCATCTGCTGTAGGTGCCTCAGGGCAGCACTGTTGACTTGAAGATAGCTTATTTGCCCCTTGTTTTCTTTTAGCTGACCAAGCAGATCACATGCACTTCAGAGCATGCTGGGGTCATTTGTCCTCCTTCGGTTGCAGACTATCTTTTGTTGAGGGGACTGCCCTCAGGCACCGACACATTGACACTTTGGTCACTGTGTGTGTGTACAGGGGCATGAAGCGTCTTCAAAGCCTTGAAGCAGGTGTCCGCATCCAGGAAACGGAGTGATGATCAGCTCTGCAACTGTGGTCACCTGCAAGTACAATCTTTAATATCTATCCAAAGACATTTTAACAGTGGTGCTGCTTGTAAGAGTGGACGCTACAGAGTTATATTTTAACTGATTTTCCTAAAGTGGAAGATTATAATAACACTGTTGTATTATCCTATTCCAGAGTATTTATGTTACCTTTATTTATCTTTTTTTTCCATTATATTCTGTGGCAACAATGAAGTTATTGAATCAAAATGCCAATTTTTATTTTCAGTCTCCCAAAATATTTAATTACTGAGCAAGCAAAGACATAAAACCTCAGTCTTAAGAAGACTTGTTACCTGTTACCGAAGTTTGTGCAAAATATCAGTGAAGTGAAATGTAAATGTGAATTTGACCCAAGTGCCAATTGAAATGCCCCCTCGGCAAAGTCCAACACATTCCAAAGATAACACGGTAGTACAGATGTTACCTTGGACACAAAGTGCACAAAGTGTGAACCGAGGTATGGTCAACGCAGAGAGGAAGAGCCGACTGTGAATTGTGAAGCCGACTAAAGACTCTGGTTATTGATTTCTGTAGTTGTGTCGTCCCTCTGCAACTTTAGTTGATCATGCAACTTGTGTGTCAGTGAATGTGAACATTACTCATTGTCGAGCAGAAGTTATCATATGAATGACATTGTTGGTGCTTGGGTTACTTTATTTGCCTGCTGCAAACATAAGGGTTGTGTTATGAAAAGGCTGAACCGTAAACGCGTGTGTTCTTTTTGCCATTGCAGTCAGCGGTTGTTCAGTTTCTTGTTCAACTTTCTTCATTTCTGCTTTTTTCGTATGATGGTTATAAATCATGCTGTTGTTCCTTGAACCCAGAGGTGCAGGGAACACAACTGGATCAGACTAAACACAACTGTGTCCCAACAGCTCCACCAAATGAGTTACTGAGAAACAACATTTTCATGAAATCAAATTGTACAGTTGATCACACCTATCACATCTTGAAATTGATCGAGTTGTACCTGCTTTAGTTTTCCTGCTGTAAAGTGATCTCAAAGATGTTTTTGCTTCCTATTTGCTGTAGAGAATCACTTTTGTACAGCTTTTCCATGACTGTTTGTGTCCAAACTTGTGTTTTTCTCTGGTGGTGAAAAGAGCCATCAGATTGTCCTGTGGTTTCCGCATTGTGTTCACAGCTTCTGAGCATCATGATGCCGATCTGTAGTGTTTGCGCATGGCTTGGTGAAAAGGTCCATTCAGTCTGTGTGCAGGTAAATTAAGTGAGTCAATGCTTGCCATCTTTCATTGTTCTTATGAACATTATGTGCCTTGGAATAAAACACTTTTGTAACGTCACCCTGCTGTGTTCACTTTAAACCAGACGGTGGTGCTGTTGAGCCACGTGCTGGTCATAAAAAAAAAACACCCAATACAAGATTTCATCAACTTTATTTCATCCAGTTAGTCTAAACATTACATCACCCCAGTGTACTGCAAAACAATCAAGTACAATTTTCTGTCATCATTTCTAAAAATATTCATTCAAATTAATTATTTTTTCATGACTGTTTGTATCACTTTGACTGTAGTGACATTTGTTTTGGTAGATTGATGCTTGTGAACATGTTAAGTAAGTATTATTAATACATTAAGGGGAAATTTGCTTTCATTAGACACAGAGGTTAAGGGACACTCAGAAATAACATAAACCATAAATGGTAAAGTTAGTGTTAATCATCTTCTCTTACTCCATCACTGATGATTGAAAAGCATCACAGTCACGAAACTGAACAGCTTCAGTCACTTTTAAAAATGTGCATCATTTTAAATCTGTTAAAATATTGTGCTTTTCTTGACTTAACGCACCATAAAACGTCTGCAAATGGAAAAACGCTACATTCAGTTACCTTGAACACTTGAATAACAAACCGGTACAGGGAACAGCTCCGCCTCCAACTTATCTCTCTGGAAACACTGACCAATTGAAATTGTTACTTTTACAGCAATATATAATATATATATATATATATTTATATATCAGTAGATTTACAGTTTATTAAACACTTAACACCTTACAGAAATCACACACTAATGAGCAAAAGATGCAATTAAATCAATGTTCACAAGCCGTTAATGATTTCAAATTTGAAATGTAAACATTTGCATTGAAAGGACCGAATTATACACTGGGTCCTAGTTACATTTAAAAATAATTTAAATTTAAAGATTTAAATACTTCTCATGAGCTTTGTGGCTTCAGTCCATCTTTTTCAGCCTCATCCCTGATTTAAAAAGGTCTAGTAATAAAACTGGCGTGTCACCGTACAGTCTCTCTGATATGAAACAGGCCTACCGTTTAAAGTTGCGTGGTAAAATACAGTTGGTTGTAATGCGGCACCGAACGGCCTCCGGCTTTATGATGGCAGCCTTTTGGGATGAATGCAATCTGGTACTCTGGCTGATACAACACTGTTTATCAGACTGACAATATCATGTGAATACTGACTACTGCGGCCAAGGTACGGAACAAAAGTTACAACATCACACTGCACCTGCTGCATCAGCTCCGAGGCCGGTGGTAGTGATGTAACTGTGTGTAATAACTGAGGTGTACATGCCAGGATTTCTATCTTAACATCATGAAACACAAAGCAGGAGGTCGTGGATGAAGGTTTAAGCTGAGAGATCCACACTCCTCACACAGAATAAGACCAGAGCGATCATCATGTTTCACAGGATTCTAACGTGTAGATGTAAATATTACACGGAATATCATAGGATCCTTCTCTGTACCATTCTCCTCTTCAAAAATACTAGAATGATATATTCCCAATACTGTAATCCATATCTAACATAGACATGTACATATAAATGCACTACAACAGCTTAAAACAATAAAAGGATCAAATTCTCACAATGTAAAATGGGCCATATTGTGTGATAGAACCTCTCAGGATGCTGCATCAAGCTTCAGCAGAGAGATGCCATACAAGTCTGAGTAAAGCATGAATGACATGATCAATGTTAGTGGGATCAAATACTGTCTGTGATCAGAAGCTCCTGATATAATACCGGAAACCATGGATTATGGAAACGAGAGCGTGTTTTACTGAGATTATTGTCACTAGCGATGCTGGTCATCACCGTTCGGCTTTCCTGAACGGAGCCTCGGAGCGACTGTGTTGTTTTTAAGAGAATCAATGGTTAAATCCCACCATGCTCGTGTGAGGAGTGGTTTGTTCATGCGAGTTTAACGAGCAGAATAGGTAGTATGATTAACACTGATTATTAAGACATTGAATAGCACCGTGTTAGTCCCTAAATGGTTGCCACCATCATAGCGTCACATTTTATTGGTTGGTTCCCTGGAGAATAGTTTTTTAGATTCATGGTTAGATGCTGAACGTTACTCATTTGGTAAAATGAGATGAATTAAAGTGAGTCACACTGTCATGACCCAGAGGTTGTAATCGTTGACAGAAGTTTTTTTTTTTTTTTTTTTTTCTTTATCAGAGAACTCATTTGGCAAATGCATGAACTGCAGACGTCTTAAATGTTCCGGTGTGTTTACGATCAACTGTGATGCAGGTAAGGAATAAACCAACATTAGGTAGGAGAGAATGAAAACTATTTGGCGGCAACACAAAAAAAAAACCTGCACTGAAAAAAAAAAAAGTCCACTTATAACTATCATATAAATCTGTCTCGATACACATTATACTTTTCTTCTGGAGAAGATCTTCTCTAGCATTTACAATAAAAATCACACTGACAAGAGATCGTTACAAAGTGACTGACCCAGAGAGGGAGTCCTCAGAAATATCCATCTGAATGGTGGAAATGAGGAGACACAAACTGAACTTTGGCACACTGAATGAGGAGGGCTGGCAGAGAGGCGAGGACCGAGCCTGCAGCTGTGCTATGGCAGTGTTTGGTTGAGTGGGCCGCGCACTCATAGACCTTTGTTGAAGTAGACCCTCTCCACGCCTGGGTGGCTGGCCCGGATCTTCTCCTGCAGCTCGGGCTCCAGGCGGCTGACCGACATGGAGCTGGATCACGGAGTGGGAGAAAGGCAGGAGTTACTGGGTCAGACATGAACACTGTGGGTGTGTTGTGTAACAGTTGAGGCAGGAAAAGAATCCTGCAAACGTTGCAAATTTTAATCTAGAGAAAGTTCATGTTCTTGACTGGTTCCCTGTGTCTGACTGTAAACGTTACTCACCTCTTCTGGGGAAACAACGCACAGCAGAGTGGAGTGGCAAACACCAGGCTGAAAAACAGAAGTATATCTATGTGACATCGTTTCCCAAACTTGGTCTAAAACACACCCAATGAGTAAGAGTAAGAGTACAGTAAAATCTTCGTTGATTGATCAATCAAAGGTTAATCAGCAACAATTTGAATCTGTGTCTAATATCTTTCTACAACGTTTCGCTTTGAAAATAGGCTATTGCAAATTGTCCTAGGGGACATGTTGTACACGAGGGTCTCCAGAATATTTTCTGTCTTGTAAAAGGTCCAAGTAATTTTTCAACCACAAATGTTTAAGACTTTGCTGCATCCGGCCTCTTAAATGTGAGGATTTGCTGCTTCTCCCTGTTTCACTGTAAAATGATGATGATCATTAACTATTTGAAGAAACAGAATGGACATTGATGGACATTTTTCTCTCTTGTCTAACCAATATTTCTTTTAACCAGAATTAGGTTTCCGCAGGCTTTTTAACCCACTGTGGTGGAGGAGTTTGCCTCTGTTCAACTTTCTCATTTTACAATTTGGTGGGTTTATATCACTGCTGATCCGAGGAGTCGCTTAAAACATGTCCACTTGCAGAGTCATTTGACCAGGGAGTGAGTTCCCATCGTAGATAAAAGACTGTACTGGGTTTTTTTTTCACCAGTAGAAAAAGAGTGCGTCCAACTGTGCAACTAGCAGAGGTAGAACGTAACGAAGTACAAATACTTCGTTATTGTAGATTTTTCAGGTATCTGTACTTTACTTGAGTATTCATTTTCCTGACGACTTTTTACTTTTACTCGCTACAACTGGATCGTTACTTGTTTTACGCATTTTACGCACGGAGCACCTCTCGCTCACTCCTGCCTCGGGAGACGAGCAGACCCGGGGCAGCACGAGACCCTAAGCGTCCGGAGGTTGTTCGTGTTGCCGTGGTTGACCGAGGTCGGTAATGATCCTTCCTCAGGTTCACTTACAGAAACCTTGTTTCGACTTTTACTTCCTTTGCATAGTCAAGTTTGAGCGTGTTCCCTGGGCTCCGCCAGGGCCGTGACCGACTCCGGCGGGGCCGAACCGAGTTCCCTGTAAAAAATGATCCAGGTGCTCATGCAGGACCACGGTTCAGTTCAGTCTTCATTATTCTGTCTGAGTTTGGCAGCAAAACTAGATTGTGTCCAGTGATTTTTTTGTCTCTGTACCAGCTCTGTGCAGGTTGCAAACAAAAGAGGAAAACTATCCTATTTTGTTTAGCCTACAAGTTTTTTCTTTTTGCCGAGTTATCAGAAGAGGCATCCTGTATCATTTAAGTTCAAAACTTTTGCTTTCGAACAATTTCAGAGCCTGCACTTTTTTACTTATACTTGAGTAAAAGAGTTGAATCAGTATTTCTATTTTTACCAGAGTCTTTCCGTCAATCAGTACTTTGGCAACTGGACACACTTAAGGCGGGAAGTGCTGCTCACATAACTGTCATCTCAGGGAAGCAGAAGTGAAAGAATGTTCCATGTGATTTGAATTTTCTGAATTCAGGGTCACTGGAGGCCAAGAGGAGCTGGAGAGTGGCCGTGTTCAGACACAAGATTAACATGCAGCTCTCAGAACAAGTGTGAACGCACTAGAGACGCACTGGGATCTGTTTGTTCACACCACAATCAGAGTCGGTCTGGACTGCTCACGGCCATACGTGGAGGGATAAATGTAAAATTCTTCAGAAAATGTAGGATGGGATCTGTGGCATCTTGGTTTAAATCGCTGGAACTCTTGAAAAGCATCACCAGCCTGCTGTTAACACAACTTAATAACTGATCCACAGATTAGATGTCTAAACTCAGTGAGACAGGCTGAGAGAGCTGATATCATCTAGCATTCAAAATAAACGTTCCTCTGGAGACACCTCACAAAAACGTTTGGTGATGGAAATCTTAGGATTACTCTGGTTTCATATCGTTGTTGGGGGAAAAAATGAGGTTGAAATTTCAAAGGAATTTGACACAGTGGTTCATCGGGTGGACCGTCTCTGTCGACTCACCAGAATCCCACCAGGGTGACTTGAATAGGTGCACTCATCCATGGGAACTTCTGAAAAGACCAGGCAGAAAAAAAATGAATGTGAGGCACAAAGGCAGCTGTGAATTCCCCTACCAGAGTGGCCTCACGTCCCCAGTGCTTTTTATCCCTCTGATGTGTGATTACAAAGAGGAGACAAGTGGCAGAGACAGTGTAGAACATCAGGTTCCCACCATTAAACCAAAACTTTTGTTATAGTTTAAATTATAATGTCCATCAAGCAGGTTATGCTTTGAAATGTTGGTTTGTGAGCAAGATTACACAAAAAACATCTTTCCATGAAACTTGGTGGGAAGATGGGGCATGGGCCAAAGATGAAGCCACTACATTTTGGTGCAGATCTCGACAAAAGGGCAGATCCAGGATTCTTTTTTATTATCTTCAACGTTGTGAGATTGGTGCGTTTTTCTACATGTTCATTGATTTCTCAGAGATTTTTCTGTGAATCTTGAACAAAATTCAGACATACTGTATTTAGTGGGGTGGTATCAATGAGTGTTTGCAATTTCTTGCAGATCCAAATAAAAAAGTGGATTTGAATCTGTTTTTGCAGCTGCTGAATGGTAACAAATAAGGTTAGAAACCTGTAACTACAACCAACGTGTAGCTGAGAACCGTCATGTGGCCTGAGACACAAGGCTTGTTGTAATTAAAGGGGACTGTTGGGCCTTGTTATGTGCATGAGTGGAACCGGAACTGTTGGAGGAGATTATTGCAGCAAACACATTCCTCTGTGGTTTGTGTTTTAAGGAGAAACAGCTAATTCCGAAATACACCCACCTTCAGAAAGGCCTTCTTCTCCAAGTGGTTCATTAAAAATGGAGGAATGGCTGAAAAGACACAGATGATTACTGCATATTCAATTCAAAGTCAGTTTGAAAAGTTGGTGGTTTTTGAGTTTGAATTTAGTTTTTGAGTAAATGATGCCTTCAGTTGTCAGAGTGGGTTTAACAAAGCTGTCATTAGTCTGAAACATGTTTATACCCATTCCTGGAGAAGCCATGAGGATTCTGGAGACCACAACCTGAGAGATGGCCTGCTGTGCAGCTTTCGTGGACTCTCCTAACCTGTTGTCATTCTCATCTGTTATGGGAATGCCGTGCTTAAGTTCTCTGAGGACGAGGAGAGAAGAAAACAAAAATCAGAGGAATTTAATTTAGTACCTCTAAAAAGCAACTCTTCCGTGCTTTGCTGAGTGCAGCGCCTCCTTTACCTTTGTCTCATCAGCGGGATGTTGATACAGTTAGCGGCAGCTACAGCAGCAAATGGCACAAACCGTCCAATCAGAGGTGAGATATGCTAAAGAGAGGAGGGATAAAAACATGAGATGAAAAACCTGGTAATGCTGTTTCACCTTTCAGACCAGAACAAGTCTAAGGTTAATTCAGGTTAAATTCCACATGTTTCACGTGAAGGCCTCTCTGCCAGATGTACAGCACAAAGTGACTAAAAGCGACCATGACAGCGTGCTGATTACAGAGCATGACTCTGGACATAATGTGGCTTTTCTATGACAAAGAGACTATTTGTGCATCAGCTTGTGGCTGAGGTCAATACATTAAAATGAGATGTGGAATGGGGTTAGATGAACTGATACCTTTGTTAGTGCATTTAGTCCTAGAGCGGTGGCAACTGCGCCTGTGGTGGCAGACACATAAGCTGTGCCAAGCTGACTGCAAACAGAAGAGTCACCGGTCACGTCTCACAAAAAAAAACTGTCCACACAGAAACCGTTGAACTGAAGGGTTAATATGAGCCGGTGTCAGTGCCAACATGTCTGCCTCTTACCTGACTGTGATGGGAGCATCGCCGCTCCTGTTTGTATAATTGACTATTGCGTTGAAAGACTGATTGATCCACTGCCAGAGGAGCACAGCTGGAGTGGTCCTGCAAGATTTCAATCAGTGAAGTCATAATCCAGGACAGTGTGAAGGTGCAGCAGAAAACCTTATGTTGCATCTGAATTTTCCAGCCAACATGCTGGTCTCCATTAGAAAGTATGAAAATAGACTTTGAATTAGAAAATTTTGATTTCTGGGTTTGAACTAATATCTTCCTTGTCAGATATCACCTTCAGTCATGCTTTCAAAAGCATACATTCTAATATTTCAATTTGTAGGAATAATGTCAGCCAAGGTATTTTTTTTAGATTGAATGTTATCCCTATAATTTTCCCACATATCAAAATGTCATCCATTGTCTGACTGTAAACAACAAAAACAAGTTCTCACTTGTAAAATGTCATCATGCATCCAGTGATCGTCATGTTCATGGGAACCTGTGCTGACATGCGGCCAATCAGGATCATCTTCTCGCCAGTGTCGGGGTGGAATGCCGAGTCAAAAATATACTTGGCTTTCCACAGTTCATCCTCAGTCAGCCCTGGAGACACTACACCTTGCCTGGTGGTAGAGAAGCATCATTCATCTAGTAACAGCAGTGACTTCCAGTATAGTGGTGAATTGAGACTCTGTGGTTTACCTGTAGTCAGTGATGATTTTGTGCGCGTGTGCTAGTTGTTCATTGGAGAGGAGGATGTTCCTGGGGTCTGTGACAGTGAAGAAATGTTTAGCCCGACCCACAAATGTGCTCTGGTCCCACCGGGGCTCCTTGATGTTTATGGAGGTGGAAAGCTCTGCTGCCATATTTATCTGGGGGAAGGATAATGATATAATAACAATCAGGTTGCTGTCAGTGAATGGGACATATAGGATTTATGGATGAGGCTTTATGGTTCCATAATATTCCATTGACCTAGGAAACAGAATCTAAGACAAACACGCTAAATAAAAACACACTTTCTCCATTGTGCTAAATCAACAACAGATTAGTTATCAAGAAATACTGCATTTCATAACTGCAACGTGTCAGGCTGAGTACTGCTCCACCACAGGAGTGCACAGCCCCTTCAGCCCTTGTTTTATTTTTTGCAGACACAAGTCAGTGGAGGAAGACTGAAGAAAAAGAAACACTGCTTTCTGGATTTCATGCCTCTAGTTCAACATAATGTTGCTATGGTGATGGCTGACCTGACACAAGGGTTGTGAAGCACTAAATTGCAAAGCCCCATTATAGGCATACACCAACCCCCCCACCAATGGGGCTGAAAGCCAGCACTGATAAAGTGACAAAGCTCCTTTTTGCATGTATGTTGTGAAGGAGACACTGAGTTCAAACAGTGGGTTATGCAACATTTGGGGTTTATTATCGCCACCACTGGTGAGGATTTGAATGCAACTTTATGTTTTTATTAATCTACAATCCACAACATGACATGACTGGTCTGCAATGAATGAATACTGAACTGTGCAAAACATGAGCTTTGTGGCTGTGCCTGCACCATGCTCATTCCTCTCCCAATGTGTGTACGTGTGGGGTCACTGTAACCCAGTCTGATCTGGTTTTTAGCCATTTGTTACATGCATCCAGTGGGGAGAGGCTGGGGAGTCACAGAAATAGAGTGCGTCTGTGCAAGTGTCTGCAGCTGCATGATGAAACTCCACCTGAAATTGCACCAAAGATGGCTGCTGGATTGACAGCAAAACAGAAAAGTCTGGTGTGTGTGTGCTGTCTCTTTAAATTGAATTAAACTTCATGGGGTTCTCACGAGACGGCAACAAAACAACCCCCCCTACTCTGATCATAGCCAATGAATCCGTGCACGAGGCGGCAGGACACTGACTGACGCTATATAATCAGATAAATGTTAACATTCATGCTAAATGACTAATGAGGAAGGTGATCAGTGCACTTTGGATCCAAACGGCCTTTGATCTCTGCTGCTTCTGCCCTCACTCTCAGCCAATCAAAGGCAGCCTGCGTGGCTACACATTAACCTGAGATCACCAACAACTAATCATCAGCAAGGGCAACACATGAATCCATGAGTCCGATCAGAGGAATATTAACCTTCATTCATTCATCTGTTATAGCGTGGAAACGCTGCTGTGTGTGTGTGTGTGTGTGTGTGTGTGGTCGCAGGGTAAACATGCTCAGTGACTGGATGCGGCCAATTGTTCCAACCCGACGTAGACCAGTCAAATCTGGACTGTGACTGGAGATGTTTCTGCTCATGGATCAATCGATTAAAACAAAAAAACATTCATCCCAAAATAAAAAAAATATATAAAAGATCGATCATATTGACACGGCTAATTAATCACAAACCGACATGTAGCCAGCTGTGTGCGCCCCAGATTCAACTAGTATCAGCCTGCTGCCACATCCACACATCCAAGCAAGCAACCAAAACGCATCCGACCCTTGCTTCCTTCGTCTGGCACTCAGATGCACGCTCGTCCGTTGTTTCACAAAAGCATCGATGGCTCGTTGGATTCATTTTTTTTTTTTAAAAAAGCATAGACAGGCTACTTACTGCTCTGTGGGCTCCGGCGGTCCGCAAGAGGTGTCCCTGAAAGGCTGCAGCCAGTGAGATTTACATGCAGCAGCGTCAGCACATCACTGAGGCACATCCCCCAGTGTCAGGAACCTCGCAGAGAAAGTAAAAGTCCAAAGGTACACTGCAAAAACAACCGCATTGCATGTGGAGTCTGCAGGAGGACGAAATGTGCATGCATCGTTTTCTTCTGTTCTACAAAAGCGGACACAAACATTCTGGAGGTGACAGATGAGGCTTCGTTTCTCTTCGTTCCTTCAGATGAGGCTTTTATTTTCAGAACACCACATATCCGTTGACGCTCTGACATTGTCGCCACGTTGATTCACAGGCAGTAATATCATTATTCACTCGTAAAACTTTGCAGCGTTTCCACACACACACACACACACACACAGCAAGACTTAGTGCACAACGTTTAAAAGTAACATTGTAATGCCTTTGTGGAATAAGCAAGAATTCTTTGAAATAAAACATTATTTGTATTATATGAATAAATTCATACATAAAACAATGAATACATAAACATTATATAAGAAAATACTACACAATTAAAAAGCAAAATTACTCTGGGCTTGCTTAAAGTTACATAATGCAAACCAGCAGTCTGGACAATTTTATGTTTCAAAATCATGATGTCACAAATCCCTGCAATACAAATACAAAACAATAAATAATATGATCAATAAAATGAACCAATTTCCTGCCCACTCACACTAATCCTGCATATCAGTGAGATTATTTTTATTTGAGCTGATCATCTGCTGTTTCTGGTGTTTGATTCCATCTAGTGGTGGCTGACGAGTGCTGTAGGAAATCATGCCACCAACAGAATCGAATAGAAATCCTCCAATTGTTGAAGTAACTTCAGTCTTTATTTCGTATGGCTGTGGCTGCAAAACATATAGTGGGTTTTTTTTGTTATTACTATTTTACAACTGATCCCATCTGTACCAGTGTTGCCTACTTATATGAAATACACAAACTCTCATCAGACACAGCAGAGCAGAGAGAGAGCTACTTACACTAAAACAGGGTATAAAAGAACGCAGTCGCTCATGTGATAAATACAAAAGTGCAAAGAGAACATTTTCATTTCTGACATCCAACCCTATCATGTAACTTCACAAAATAAATTGCTGCGCTCCAGTTACAAAAAGAAAACAGTTCACATTATATTTACTGCAACCTTTGATTAGAGGCCATGCTAGGTGAAAGACGCAGTGAGGGTGCCATGATGTGGCAACACACTCCGCTCATCATTTACGCCCTAACACAAAGATTACTTACACATCTTATGATTCTCAGCAGTTCATTCAGTCTTCCTGACAAACCAGCAGGTACTGTTACTGTTATTTTCAGAGTAGCAATCGTTTTCTAGCAATAAAAACATCATGCACAGAGAGGAAAAAGTGGAAAGGACGGTGGTCTTTAGTTAATGTGATAGTTTTCGTTTCATTGTGATTATGGCACACGTTTGTTTTCTGGTCCGTGGGATAATGAAAGCTTCTCGTCCCCTTTGTAGCCTGTAGTGATCTTTACAGGAAATAGTCAGGGGTACGCCGCGTCACGTGGGGTTCTCCTCTGCGTGGTGCAGGGTCGAACTGTAGGCTGCATAAACAATAATTATATTACAGGAACCGCCAAAAATTATTATTGTTAATATAGGTATAATAGTAATAATACACACATTTATATCAACATAATAAAAATCCTTTACTTACAATGAGTATTTCAATGTGTCATCAAGTTCCATGATTGCGGCCTGGTTTCCACAACGATAACAATAGTTTGGTGCACTGAAGATCGTCACTACATTGCGGTCATGGCACCAGTTATAGCCCTAGATTAAGAGATTACTTAATGTTACCTTCTTTAAATTCACAATAATGTAACATCAGTGTCTTCAATGAAAGATTTGAAGTATTATTAGTACCTCCATCACAAGCTGGTGGGCTCTTGAGACCAAAGTGAGGCCATTAGCGTGGTTGAAGGTCTCAGAAATGTCCTGCCCGAAGGTGTAACCGGCACCACGGGGTGAGATGCCCCAACCACCACGATCATCTGGGTCTGACCAAAGCAAGTCACACATGGGACCCTGAAACACAAGTTCTGTTTAGTGTAGTCAACATGCAGAAAATTGTTAAAATTGTGATAAATGTCCGATAAAATTTCCCAAAGACATAATTGACAAATTCTGATTTGTTTGTTTTGTTTGATCTACCATTCAAAACTCTAAGAAATGAATTATACGTCATAGAAACTGAACATTTGACAAGCTCGAACCTATGATCTTTTTCTGCATTGTTTGCCATAAGACTATTTAAATGTAAGGAGCTGTGTGGTTTACGATTAGCAGTGTTTTAAACCCAGACCTTATATAATAACTTATTGATGATTATACAGATCATGATATAAATAATGATAATAATAATCCTCATAATGTTTTAAGATATCCGGATATGTCAGAAAATGATATAATAGGTATCTCCAAGTTTGAAATAACTGTAATCTACATGAATTTACCTCATGAGGGACTTCCTGTAAGCGATCCAGTGCTCTGATGTGTTCCAGTGTGTCTATTGAAGGGGACAATCCTCCATGGAGGCAGAAGATCTTAAAGAAGAAAGGATGAATGTGAATACATTGATGACACGGTCACAGACCACTTCATGGGGTACATCACAGGGGCCACCTGTGGGTGTGACAGTCTCACCTGGTTATCTACTAGTGCAGTGAGCGGCAGGTAGTCAAACAGATCTGTGAAGTACTTCCAAACATTTGCATTTCCATATTTCCTCAAGCACTCGTCGTAGAAGCCGTACACTTGTGTGATCTGTCTGCTCTCATGGTTCCCTCTGAGAATTGTGATTCTCTCACGAAACCTTACCTGCAAAACAAAATGCATGTAAAAAAAAATACTGGTTTGTTTGTTAGCAGGGCTACACAAAAACAACCCCACAGATTCAATTGTGGTAGAGTTGAGGCGTGAGCCAAAGAAGAACCTGTTGGATTTTGGTGTGGATCTGGATAAGGGGGCAGAATCTTTTTTTTCTTTCTGTAAATTGTGAAAGAGGGAGTTTTTCAACATGTTCCTTGATTTCTCAGTGTCATCGATTTTGATGAAAGCATCTGACATGTTAAGTGACTGATAATTATGAGTTTGTCCAATTTGGTGCAGATTCAAATAGAAATCCTGATCCAGTGAATCTAAACGTGGCTTCAGAAGGGGACTGTTGGGCCACTGAGAGCCAATCGAGTCAACTTTTTATTTTTACCTTCAGAGAAACCAGGAGTGTGACAGTCTCCACAGAGTAGTAGCCTCTGTCAACATAGTCCCCCATGAAGAGGTAGTTGGTGTCTGGAGACTTTCCCCCGATCTTGAACAACTCCATCAGGTCATGAAACTGACCGTGGACATCTCCACAGACCGTCACCGGACATCTCACCTCCTGCACGTTGGACTCCTTGGTCAGGATCTCCTTGGCCTTGTGAAAAAGAAGGATGGTGCAGATGATCAGATAACACAGGGCATGGTGCAGTGTGGGAGTGTGCAAACAGTGATCATTCATCCAGGATATAACGCAGTTTGCTCTGGTGGTGCCAGTGCACTCCTGTGGTGAGGAGGCACCAACGGTGGGCGTAGCTAGGGAAACATTTGCAGTCATCCCCCTCCATCTTCTTGCTCCCTCAGCCATGTACTGCGTGCAGCTGCAGCCAAATGGTGTTCTCCGATGCCTGACGTTAGTCCCGGCTGCATTTGCACTGAGATCACCCACAGCTAATGCTAGGCCAAAGCTAACAGACAGGCACTGACCATAGGCACTGACGGCTCCACTTACCTTCTCACACAGGACTTTGACCTGGTTCTCTGAGAGCTGTTTGCACTCGTTCAGCTGCTCGATCCATCCGTCCAACTCCTTGGTGAATGACTTGTCGTCCATGCCTGCTTTTGCCGTCAGTAGCGAGCCGAGCAGCCGTGCGGTTCGTCTGGCAAAAACAACCCTCTGCTGGTTCTGTCGGTGACGGTGTGTCGGCCCAGCTCCAGCTCCCCGGACATCCACAGCCCGTGTGTGTGTGGTGTGTGTATGTTTGTGTATGTGTGTGTGTGTGTGCGCCAACGAATGCGTCAACAGCCCTGCGTCCCTGCAGCTGTGATGGAGACCGAAGTGTTGAAGTTGACACGATACAGAAACGATGCTGTTCCTCCTTGTTGTCACAAAGTGGATGACAGAGTCTCAGATGATGTACAGAGGCTGAGCGACACATCCCATGTGCGTCATCAGCAGCAGCGCACACTGCCGGGCCCTTTAAAACACACTGTTTACTGTTCCAGTCATTTCAACAGTTCTAACGAGTTTATTCACGATTGATCTGTTTTGATTTCTTTCTTTTATAAATCTGAAAATGAATGCTGTGATAATTATCAACAGATATATTATCTACATTTATTTTCTCCCGCCTAAAGATTTTCTTTGACAACTGGCATGAGCAATATAAGTAGCCTATAGTTGTTTATTTTTGCCAATATGAGCTTTGTGGAAACGTT